CCCGCCCCCCCCCTCCAGCGACAGCGGCCGGTCTGGGCCTGGCAGCGGCTTCCCCTCGCTCGCCATCGCCGGACAAAGCGCAGCCTAGGCAGGCTGGGAAGGCAGAGCTCCGAAGCACGCAGGACGGAGCGGAGCAAAAGAATGCGGCTCTATTCTCACAAGGGAAATTATAAAAAAGTTCATGTTCACGGTTCCTATCCACATGACCGACAGCGGCCAATGGTAGGGCCGAACAACTCATAAAGTTGTATTGCAAAGTTGTAAATTTTCATAAACAACAACGGATTTATGACCCTTTCCCCATCACTAAGAGGAGGCAGCTCCTACACCGGCGCCATCTTACCACCGAGGCTGTCCCGACTTGGGCTGCAGGTTTTACAGACCCATTTAGGTCCGATTTTATTTAAAAAAAGAGTCCCAAGAAGCTGGCTCAACCCAGCCAGGAGATAAGTAGGGGGGTCTTCCGCAGGCTACTCAGGATGCTCTAAGCTACTTCCACCGCCCCTCGTCCCTGGTCCCTTGCCGCTCGCCCCTTCCCCAGCACAGTCCCTCCTCAGCAACAGGACCTGCCTAGGTCGTATAGCCGTGCCTGAGGCCCATGGCTGTCCCAGAACCCCTCTGCTGCAGTGTTGGGCCCTGGGGCATCTTCGCCTCTACTGAAGGCTAGTGGGGGTGCTGCGGCAAGGACCCCAATCCCATTTCCTACTCTGGGGCTGGACTCAGGGAGCATGCGGAATCCGGGGTCAGTTAGAGGGTAGGTAATACCCTTTGAGAGCTCAGTCTACACCTTTAGAGGAAAGGTTGAATTTTGGAATTCATTCTTGGAATTTATGGAAGTTTTGGGGGGCTTGATAGAATGGACTGTGTTAACTAATAGCTGTTTTCAATGGATCTAGATATTGGTGCACACACAATAGCCAGACAAAAACATCTACAAACAGGAAGGCATTTATATAATTATAGGTGCAGAAAAATGAACGCATAGACATAGAAAAACGTGCAGTTGTGGACACGGAAACCCACACATCCAATTATAGACATGGAAAATGTTAACACACAACACAGATACACACAGATATTATGGATGTGGAAATGTACACAATTATGAAAACTATAAGCAACCACACACAAATAGAAACACACTTATTCATACAAATCTACACACAAAACATGGGGAAAGAGACATGACACATTTATACATGAATATCTAAAATTTGGACTCAAGGACAGTCTCTCTGCCTCTGCACATTGGCTTCTTCTTGGTCCTTTGACCTATAGCCAGGTCTTTCCCTTAAGCTAGAGCCACCTCCCCTTGCCCCAGCCCCTCTGGATAAAGCAGTCCGTGTTTCTTTGTCACCAAGCATCTTTATTGTTACATAAAACATAGGTAACTGGGCTGGGAAGCATGCCTTCCCTGAACCCCAGGCTGTCTAAGGGGGACATGGGACAACAAGGGAGATAATGGGCACCGGGGTGGGTATTGGACCTCTCTCACCCACTACAGAATTAGTTCAATACAACACACCATGCTACAAAGTCACCCCATTAAACATCTTCCCAAGTCAAGACATTCCTTTACAAATGAGCTCCAAGATTATAGAAATGACAAAAACAATCTGGTTCAAATATACAATATTTGTCCTCGGTAGGAAAAGTCAGAGTATGCATATTTGACATGGCTGGACAGTAGGACACAAAAGCAAGGGAAGGAACAGTGAGGCTGGGAACATCTCCTTAGTCCTGCAAAGCCAAAGCTATTCCAGAGCTCTGCAGCCAGATCAGGAGAAAGGGTAATGGCCCTGACCTTGAGGTATCAAAGCCAGAGAAAGAGGGATTCTACGATGCAGCATTTGGTATGCTTTGGAATAAATATATTATTTTTCAATTTAAATAGAAGCCAATGCCCTGGTCCCTGAACCTCATTGCCTTGTTAGTGAAGCCTCGGTGACCCCAAAGACTGTCAGCTAGAAGCATCAAGGCCTGGCCTGGGAAGAGTGGGCACGGAGAAGCAGGGAAGCTGGCCAGCACGAAATAGGTAGTTTAGGCCTAGTAGGTAGCACTGATCCTGTGTTTGCAGGGGTGGGGGGTGCTGGGTATCTGCCACTGTTAGGACGTGGAGGGGGCTTCTTAGGAGTGGTAGCCCACTGGGGCTAGGACCATAGGTAGTTTGGGGTGCCTCTCAAGGAGGCCTGTGCTAGGTAGTATTTTGGCTGTGCCAGCACACAACACTGGCCCAGGGTTGGGGGTGTATCTACTGGGGTCCTCAGAGGGAGAGAGGGTCCCCAAGGTGACCTAATCTCCCACCGGGAGCTAGAGTGGGTGATGGAGTGGGTGGGATGAGGGTGGGGATTGATTCCCTCTTTTCTCTCACTCTCTCTCTCTCTCTCTCTCTTTTTTTTTACACTTTATTCCACCCCATTTTTGTAACTAAAATCAGTGAGTCTCTTAAAGACGCTTTTTCGACTGTCCTGTGCAGCCAGGGCTTATGCCTGGGCCTTTATTCCTCTTCTTCCTCTTCCTCCTCCTCTTCCTCTTCCTCCTCCTCACCGGCCTTGTCAGCAGCTACCGTGGAGACGGAGGGCACCGCGTCTTCGGGGGCCGCCGTGGGAGCCTGGCTCTCATCTTTATGCTCTTTCTTCCATTTCATGCGCCGGTTCTGGAACCAGATCTTGATCTGGCGCTCGGTGAGGCAGAGCGCGTGAGCGATCTCGATGCGGCGGCGCCGAGTCAGGTAGCGGTTAAAGTGGAATTCCTTCTCCAGCTCCAGCGTCTGGTAGCGCGTGTAGGTCTGGCGTCCCCGCTTCCTATCGGGTCCTGAGAGCAGAAATTTGGACATATAGACAAACAGACAAGCAGACTGGGATATGGACAGAAGAGTGCTTTAGTCAGGCCCGCAATTCCAAGAGCCTGGACCTTCCATCCAGCCCAAACCCAGGCGTAACCTCCATCGCCCCCAGTTGAGCTGGGGGAGAAGTGTGAGCGGAAGAACCTGGGGCCAGACAAGCCTGTCTGTGAAGAACCTTAGAGCAGAATTCCAACTTTACAACCGGCCTTTCCAGCCGGCTACGTTTCTACAATGTCCTGCGTCCCCTTGACAAAGGGAAATTGTAAATATAGAGTGTGGCAAGTGGGAGATTCGGCACTTTTGCCATTCAAAGGCAAGCCTAGCCGTTACCCAGCCTCGCTAGAAAGTGGGCAACCCTCCTCCGCAGCGCCATGCACAAGACCTTCCTGTAGCAATCCCACCCTCTGTCCCATTTGCTCCAGCTAGGGTCTGGAAATGGCCTCTGGTACGGGGTGGGTGGGGGATCCCGGAGGTCCTGGCTCTCCTTGCCTTTGAGAAAGAAAGCTAGGCCGAAAGAAAAGGAGGCGGTGGGGACAGCTGGAGTCAAGAAAGGAATGGAGGACAGGAAAGAAGGAGATAGAGCAGAGAGACTGAGAGAGAGAAAAAGAGAGAGAGAGAAGAGGGAGGGAGAGAAAGAATACGAAATGAGAATAGCGAGAAACTTACTGTAAAAATTCCAAGGCAAATGGAGTTAAATAAATTTACGAGGATCGAACCCATTAATTGGGCCATAAAAAGTTTTATGAGCCTCATTTACATACAATGCTATGGGTCTCTCCACGCAATGGCGCCTCAGCTCTAATTAAAACCAGAA